TCATTTCACCCTTTGCCGAGAAACTTATCACACCCAAGAAAACTGGAAGTGAGACGTCCCGAGCAGTTGCTGCACTTGAGGGCAACATAATTAGGCTTATTACACTGATAGGAAAAATGTCCAAGTCCACAGTTAACACATGGAGGTACCTGTAAGTGATAAAACCCCTGGTATTTAAAGCATTGGATTGGCGCTTCACGACCGCGGTAATTATCCACCTTGAGTTTTAGATTTTGCAGGAATTCAAGTTCGTAGATTCCCTTCCATTTGTACGTTTTTTCCAGGTTGACAACTATAGGTGGGAGAAAGATTCTTCCTCCGTCTCTCCTTTTGATGATCCTGCTTACATTGTTTACAGGGTATGCAAGTTCCACGAGTTTTTGCATTATTTCGTTGGTATCGATGGAGACAGGAATGACTGCTTTAAGATTTCTTTCCTCAGGTAGCGGGAAGCAATGGAATTTTGCATCTTATCCTTTCAGCAGGTTGATTAGAGCTATGAGAACTTCAGGATCGCTAATGTCGATAAAGTGCTGTCCTTCGTTGATCATTTTCCTTTCCACTGGTTTGTTTATTCGTCTTTCGCTTCCTTCCCTGTTATCTCGCGCTATAATAACGTGACCAACTTGCATCTTACACCATCTACATGATTTAATCTTCTATGCATTCACGTACACTTACATATTTATTCGGCTGAATCTTCACGAATCTTTTCTACGTCGGGCAGTGTATTAGATGTCGTCATGTTAACGTTACTATGTATTCTTATAGGATTGTAGGTTTCTTTTAATTAAATAATATTGTGGATAGTTACCTGTAGTTTATCCACGATTGTTTTTCCCATGTTCTGTTCTTACTGTAAGCGCGCCTTTCGGAAATTAAATTATTCGCCTAATTTTCCTCTCTCCATTTTCGGACGATAAAATTAGTAAAAAAAAAAAAAAGGAATCGATGCTAGGAAATACGGTATATGTACATATGTCACTGGCAATGTATCAAAGTCGGTATTACATAGACATTTTGTAGAATGCCAAGCACTGGTTGGCCAATGTCTGAAACGATTAAGATTTCACACATTTCATAGGCAGGCTCAACAGCGGTCAAGCGGTAAAGTTACTGAACACTGGTAGTTTGGTTCGGGGTTCAAATCCTGACGAACGAGATGGCTGCATGGGAATTTTCGTGGTTTTCTCTATGTCTAATGTTCATACGAGCTCTTAAAAATCCTCCATGAAAACATCTCTTTCCTTAGCCAAGTAGCCCTCGAGTGCTTTGTCGTAATTTATTACACAAACTAACCATTTCCTACGAATTTACAGAATGCCAAATGACAAAAAAAAAAAAAAAAAAAAAAAAAAAAAAAAAAAAAAAAAAAAAAAAAACCAAAAAAAAAAAAAAAAAAAAAAAAAAAAAAAAAAAACAAAAAAAAAAAAAAAAAAAAAAAAAAAAAAAAAAAAAAAAAAAAAAAAAAAAAAAAAAAAAAAAAAAAAAAAAAAAAAAAAAAAAAAAAAAAAAAAAAAAAAAAAAAAAAAAAAAAAAAAAAAAAAAAAAAAAAACTATGAATTAGGAAAAAAATGTTTCCTACTGCTTCTTTGGAAACTACTGTGTGAGTTCCTGATGTCGACAAAGGACGAGGGGAATCGCATAGTATATTATTCGCAGTTGTAATGAGTTAGATATAAGAGGGTTTCTACTGAAGTGAAACTTCTGCAAGAATTTTGAATTATGCGATCGCAATTCACTTTCATGTCCTAAGAATTGGCTTAGAATCGAAGCTGTTCCTCACCATGAAATTTCTTTTCGGTCATTTGCAGTTGCTCAGCCGCGAGGAAGTGGCCAAGGATTCCTCAAGTGTATATGCAAAACAAAGTGCCAAAATATGATATGTGTGCAAAAAAAAAAAAAAAAAAAAAAAAAAATTGAAGTGTGATTCAAAATGTCATTAAAGCCTATCATGTTGGAACAAATAGTTTAATTTTGAATTTTTATTTTTATATGAACATTTTATTTTCTTTAATAAGAAAGACATAAAATTTATTTTGTACAACTTTCAGTTTTCTTCACATATTTTAAATAAAAATTCTTAATGGTTCTCTCAATTTTCGAAATAATTTGTATTTTTGAGGAATCGAAGTCCTTTAAATAATAGCCATATTATAATATTTCTCCATTCTTTGCCTAAATAGCATCTGTCATTCTATAAAATATCTCGGTATTATATACAGTTCCTAGGGAAAGTATATTGTAATACTCATATTTCATACTTTGCTAAAAATCCCAGGCATTCTATAAAATGCCTAGATATTCTATAGAATGCCGGCGTTTCATACATTGCCGGTTACATACAGGGTGTTCGGGATAAATTTGACAGTTTCGTAAGGAAAAAGAGAATCCGCTTGTATGAATAGTAGCGAAGGTTTTCATTGAGTGCAAGCTTCATAGTAGAGGCTGCAACATTCATTTCATGTGACAAAGCCCGAATTCCAATGCCAGGGTTCTTCAACACCTGTTCCTGCAGATTTGCGAGGAATTCTGCTGTACGAACGCAATCAGATCGTCTGCTAGGGATCTTTCTTCTTGCTAGATCCTCGTAGTCACCATTGCAAGTCTCTAGTTCATTCCTGATTGTTTTTACTGTGTTCAGGGAGCATTGGGCAGCAGTCATAATATCCTTATTTTGACGAATCATCATGATGCAAGTTATTCTCTTCCATGATTCAGGTGGGTTCCAGTCATCCATCCTTTCTGACATCTTGTATATGAATGAAGAAGGGTCCAAACTTTTAAATGACGAGTAGTGTGTGTCAATGCCTCCAACCTACGGAAAAATATAATCAATTATAAATATGTCAAATTTATCCCGAACACCCTGTATATATATATATACAATTCAAAACCTGTGGACATCCGCATATGTTAGTTCTAGTTACTTTAACTTCTCAAAATTATTTCGTCTTTATTTCCTTTTTCAGTAAAAAACTAACTGCCTCCGCTTTTTTCCTTGCCGTTGTTTTAAGAACACCACGGCATTTCATGCCATCGTTTCTTACGCTCTGAAAAGCTGTTAGATAAAATATTTTGGCTTTTTTTATTTATAACTAGACTAGTTTGCATTATTCATTAATTTTTGAATATGTTGCATAAGAAACAGAATATTTTAATATTTAGCCTGATTTGAGTAACCACTAGATTCTTTATACTGCTAGGAACATATTTGGATTAAATTGATTTTACAGATTTAAACCTTTTCTTTCTGTTTACTATTTCAAAACAGCAATAATAAATTTGGTTAAAATTTATCATGAAGATGTGCCGGGAAATGTGAAATCACGTAATACATGAAGTAAATGTAAAATCCACTTACTTCTAAAAATAATTTTCACATTTTTCGAATTTTAAATGATTATTTGCATAATTTTGATTGAGTTTCGTCTTTGTTCAAAATTAGTGCATCTGAGTATTTTTTGTAATTGCTCTCTTTTTTAATTTTGTTTTCAATTCTACATTTGCAGCAAAATTACTTCATATTTAATGATATTTACATTAATTTTGTGCAGGGATTGTTTGCACTGTTTTATACTAATTCCTTTTAGTTCTGCTTTTCAGTATATGAATAATATATTTTAATTCTCTCTTAATTTAATTTTAAATTATGTATATATGTATATGCTTGACTGTGAAGTATTTGTTTTTATCAAAGATATTGATTAAAATATTTTTTTTATTTGACTCCCATAAGGTTAAAATCTGTCCCGTAATGTGTTATTGGAGGAAATTTAGTTTTACTTATTGGTCTAAACTTTTGTTTATGCTTGTATGGTAGACACTTATCAACCAAAGATATTCTTTCCTATATCCTCTACCTCTAATGAAAGGTTATTTTGAGAATGAAGAGGAAAAGGTAATGTAAAACAATGCAAATGTACTTAAAAATTCATCGTATCTTGTGCATGACGCACCATGGCATCATTTAAACAGCCTGACTTGCTGAGTAAAATTTATCATCATAAAAATAGACTTCAGAGTCTATGGCTCAAGTTTTGAAATCCAGTTTTAAGGATTTATCCTGACTTAAATTGCTGTGGATGTTTCGATAAGGAATGTACATAATCCAAACAACGGTGTAAATAATGTCATAGTGTAAGTAACAAGAGAAAAGTTGGAACATGGAAATTTTATGGTAGACTTGGGTAAAAATGAAATGGGTAGAAATGACTTGGGTGTCACAATATGCTAATTTAAAATAAGATAAATTTAGAAAAGGGAAAATGTTTTAAAAAAGGTAATAATAAAGTTCAAAATAGTAATAAAATTTTATGTACAGATCAAGTATATTTTAATTAACAAATATTGAAGTATATAAATATGTTTTTCTCAAAATATGAATTCTATTTTTTTATAAAATATGATTTCTGTAATATTTTTTATGACATATGTTTTCTGTATTCTAAAATATAAAGAAATGAGCTTTATTGCTAGAGTAAACAATTTTGCCCGTAACCCAGACCTGAACCCTACCGAGAATAGCCGGGATTAGTTGGATCGCCTAATTAAGGGGTGCAATAATAGTTCAAGATTCTGTGAAGGAACCTACATGTCTTCTCCAAGCCGAATGGAAGAAAATACGAATAGCCGTCTTAGGACTACGGGAACGCATTCCCCGGATGAGGCTGTAATTGTCATTCGTGGATGCTCGACTAACTATTGAATATGAAATAACTTTTATTTTTCTTTTCTATCACAGGTTTCCAAATATTCATTGGTAGATAGTACATATCAAGGGCAGTTTCCTGACAACTATGACATAGTAATGATGTTCAACACTTACTTGAAATGTATGAAAGTGCTAACTATATATAAATGTCATTAAACTGCGTAGCAAAATTAAAGAAATGCTCGATAAGTACTGAAAGTGTAAGCTTTAAATATTAAAAATAAGTTCATGATTGGAGGAACAACACTAAATTAATTTCAATCAGTCAGTAATAGTACATCAGAGATAACTCAAGTGTAAGATTTTATTTATTCTAATTTTACAAGTTTAAATTCTTGCATTAAAAAGCAATGAAAATAGAACATGCATATGTCATAGCAATGAATAGCTACTTTAATGTTTTGCTGGAACAGACATCAGAATCTATAGCTGAAACAATAATTTGCTTTAAATTATGACAATAAGTTAGTTCCCTTTTTTAAAAGACATTATTTATAGAAATATAACGTTTTTAAACTTTGAACTTCTTTAAAGTACTTTCCTTTATATATTCATCCATATTTCTCTACATAAAGGAAAACTCCTTTCTTCGGGCGCATTGTAGCAAGTGCTGATGAGATTTCCAAGTTGTCCTGACGAAAGAAAGTCTATTATTTAAAATGTAGTTTTAAAATAACTTGTTACGAAACACACATTATTAAATAGACTTAAAGCATTATGTATAAAACACTGAACGTTACTCAGACTTTTCATTTTTCAAATTTTTCTTGCGTGGAAGTTGGAATTGGTTCCTCAAACATCCGTTTTAGATTTTATTTTGTTCTAACAAGTATTTTTTTACCGAATTTCTAATTTTTGAATGTTATTATTTACTGAATTTTTTTGTTTTGAATATTGTAGAATATTATAGATTACACATAGATCACTGAAAATCTCGTTTCCTTTCAGGTAATCTGAAATTTTGAGATACATATTGACAAATATCATTTGATTTTCAAACATCTAAAGAGATGGAGCAAAGCAAGGGCCCCTCACAGGAGCAGACTTCGAAACTGCTAAATGAGCTTTCAGAAAAATAAACTGATGGTGAGAATTCATTAAAAGGTACTCAAAATGTTGATTATAGTGACAGTAATGGTAACGATTTTAATGAAATTTTGCGTAAAATTCTGTTATCTGACTTGAGTTCATCTGAAAGCGGGAACGCTTTCGATACGATATGAGAGAGTCGTTAAGTCTTTCATATACACTTACCCAGTAACGAAACTAATCCACATATATCCAGAAGCAGCAGCAAATTAAGGCTATGGATTCGGGTTGGATATTTAAGAAATAAAATATGGAATATATACTGTGAGAGTTCATACCTTAAAAATGTCAAGGAAGAGATGAAAAATGGAATTGGTGACTACACATTTTCTTTGCAGACCATCTGTTAAAAATATTTTGAGAGAAATTCTAGGTTTCACATTTAATTCGGAAAAAATACCACATCTAACAGTAGTCATACATTCTCTTGGACACTTTTCATAAAATTAAAATTTTTGAGCATATTAAAGAAATGCACAGAAGCATAAGCAAGGTACAATACCAAAACATGGACCATTTTGTTTAAATAGTTTGACACTTTCATTGTAATTCTTTATTTACGAAATGTTTTAGCAGAAAGAGCTATCTCTTCTTAGATTTTTGTCAAATATTTAGGGTTTCAATTTTTTCCCCTGAAACTACAAGTAGTAATTCATTTCTGGGTGTCATATGATATATTCGTTTCATCATAAAAAGCACGCTAGCACAAAGATTAAAAAATGACAAATTTGCTGTCATTTCAAGTTTGGAACATATTTCTAGAATATTGTTTTAAGTGTTGTAAACCAGGATAGAACGTCATTGTAGACGAGCAACTATTTTCTTTAAGATATGCTGTGAATTTTACAGTATATGCCAAACAAACCAGTTAAATTTAGAACAAAATCTGCCGCCCAGACGGTATAATGGTTAGGGGAGCCTAACTGCGATACCCAAGGGCCCGGGTTCGAATCCCGGAATAAACATGGATGTAAAATTGTCTGTCCATAACAGGAGGTAGTGGTGTCCGCCTATTATGTGCCTCCACAATAAAATGGCCACCACCTTTGACTTTAGTAGTGCCCAATGACGTTATAGGCAAGTGCCCGCCATTGAGGGTATAAAATTTGAACATAAATTTCTCAAACTGAAGAAGAAAAAAAAAAAACCTGAAATCATAATACTTTATAATTACACTGAAATTTGTAGTCGAAATAGCAATGAAATATTTCTTAATTTTTTTTTTTTTTTTTATGTCTCGTAGCTGTGTATACTTGAGCAGATTTTAAAGAAATAACTAGCGACCAAATTACTAGGTGAGATTATATTTTGAAATTAATAGGAGAACTAAGACAGAAGTTTTTACACTTTTTCAAATAATTTTAAAAAGGTGTACTAAGTAGTATTTTAAGTCAATAATAGCCTCAAAATGTTTAAATAAGCACAAATTCTGTCAAATTGTGAAGTTCAAAGGCAACTGTCAAGGTAAATGTTGAACATTCGCAAGTGGAAAAAAGCAGAAAATAATAACAATGTTTTATGCCGCTTGCTGGATTGGCAAATAAGTCACTGTATGTAATAATAACGGATTATATATTAGCAATTTATGGCAACACTAATATATAATATTGTATTATTATTGATGCATTATACGTAACTTCATAACTAATTTTAAATGACAATTTCTATGCATCTTTTTGTAGAAAATTTTATTTCATCTGAACTGAAAACAAGTAACACAAATTTGAAAATTTATTGTTTTAAAAATAGTTTGTTTCTTTTAGTTTAATTAGTTATATAAATATTTCAGTCACAAGATATAAATCACAAAATATATTTCAGTCACAAGAACGTTGTGTGTGTTATTTATAACAAGTGCTTCTTTGAGCAGAGATAAATTTAATGAGCGTACTGGCCAGTACGGTGTTAGGAACCAACTGTTTAAGAACCTTTGTCGTGCCTTATATTGTTGTCATCGGCTTTTTAGTGTTTTATACGCACGACAAAGCCCGTCATATTCTACACCACCTAGTGAACTAGATGCTTGAAGAAGAAGTGGTAGGAAGTAAGGAGTAGGTCACACACTTCAAGGACTTAAATCTGATAGAATATGCTTGGGACACATTAGACAGACCATTGCTGCTAGACCACTATCAGCGTTGATGCACCTTCAGTTATAAATTATCATTCTTGAAGAATTAGCAATTACCCTTAAAAATCTAATCCAACCTCTCAATAATTCATTGCCTTTCATGTGCGAAGCCATTTGGCACACTCAACATGGCCACACGCCTAAACATTTGACGAAGTTCGTCAATGCTTACTTTTTCCTTTTCTAAAAATATTATTAGTATTGATATTTTTTGTCCCCAGGTGAATTTCATGTAAAAGGATATTTGTTTACACTAAGACATGATTTTTAACCTTTTTGATTCAATATTTTCTTGTTGTTTCCATATACCATGCTGCATATTTACCAGCTATTGTCTATTCCAGTGGTGCGCAAACTAGGGGTCGCCTGAAGACTTTTGGGGGTCGCCAAATTTTTATGAAATGCATTATGCCTGCATGATGCATACCATACAGTGTACATATAAAGAGTCAAGCGCCGTCACTCAATGTTTAATTGCAATTTCATGCTGTCCGCTCTTTCTTTGACCGTAATGCGTAATATATGTAAAGTGTGAAGACGCAAGTTTTTCACTCCGGTAGATAGCGCCCTCTTCGCGGTAATTCGCCAGTTTTACTGAAAAGCGCCTATTTGACTCATGGAGGTAAGAAAGGGAGGGGCCATTCCGCGCTAGAAGTGAAGCACTGCTTTGAAGCTTGGGTCACCAGACGGGGTGTTGTTTGTTTACATTCAAAAGCTCGCTTGACAAGATTCTGATAGTATTTCGACACACGACAGTTCCATAGAAATCGAAAAAGGGACACTCTCGCATGAAAGAAACATTCATAGTGTAATGGATAATAGCAATTTGTATAGTTTACTGACATTTACGCAAAAATCACATCTTGGTTATTTTTCGATAACTAACAACAGCGATTTTGATTATGAATTTGTTTTATAAAATTCTAAGCTGTTGCACTACAAAAATATAGATTTTAAGAAAATTGCTAAAAGAGATCTGCCAAAATTTATTTTCTAGAAGATTTAAAAAGTTTGAAACTTGATGGCTAAATGTAAATATAAAATTATGTATGTTAAAATATTTGTAATTAGGCACATAGGTCAGATTAAGATTTTATTAAATAGTATCAGTATCAGTATCAATCTTGCTTTTTAAACAAGAAGAAAGATGATGAGGACTTTGGCAAACGCGTTTCCTCCAAGCTGTGAGGGTTAATATTGAAATTAACAACAAACGTTTTTACAAATTTTTATTAAACATATACAAACATCCATGCCTTCTCCGGGATTCGAACCCGGACCCTTCGGCAGGGTAGTCAGCAACGCTAACCACTATACCGGTTGGGCGGCTTATTAAATAGAGTAACGCATGCAAGGGCTATTTGCCTAAAGAGAGAGATGCCATTGTGGAGGAATTTTGAAGAAAAACTGACCTTTGAGTGGGTATTAAAAATAATACTTATAATTTTCATTCAAATTAAATTCATATATATTTTTTATGTAAAACTTTCGGGTGTATGCTAAATTAGTGTAAATTCCTTTAGACGAAAAATATAGTGAATGCACAGAAATTAAAGATTTGCGCATGCCGGAAATGATAAATAGGAAATATGTATGGGTATTTATGCATGTGCTTGCAAAAGCATGTATCTGCCTTTGACAAAATACTTAAATATTCATTAAATTATTTATAAATGTATTTGAAATGAAGAATTTATTCACTTATAAACAACTGTGAAAGTACTGTGAAGAAATCTAATGATTAAATGTATCTAATTTATAATGATTATAATGTTATCTAAATATATAATAACCTTAATATTGAATTGTAAACATAAATTGAAATCCTGTTGACAAATACGTTATAAACTATTTAAGCAAGAATTGTTCGTATTGGAAAGCAATCTGTTAAAAGGTATTGTAAAGCAAATGCTATGAGATGCGCACTTAAGAACGTAATAAAGAGTTTTGGAATATGTATTGTTGAAATGAAGGGTAAAAAAAAAAAATCTGATAAGTATAATTAAAAGAATTATTCACTTTACATTTTATAATAAACTCAGTTACAAGTTTTAAATAATACTTAAAAAAAAAAACTTATTTTATTCCCTTTCAGAAATGTTAGAGAAAGTCAAATACTATTTAATTCCTAATAATTCTCTAATTTAAATGAACCGAATAGAGCATTAATTATAAATTGACTTACATTTTTCGATTTAAAAGAAGCCAAAAAAAATCATGTCATATTTAAGAAAGTATTTTAGGAAGAAGCTCTATAAATAGAAAAAGAAATAATGCATAATTTTAATATTAATAATACAATAAACTTTGATCTTAATTTTTGTACCTTAACCGAATAAAACCGAATTACCTTAATTTTTTTTTTAATGTAATTAACGAAAACTTGTGAAAATATTTCATTCAAATTAAACC